CCCCAAAACCCCAAAACCCCAAAACCCCAAAACCCCGAGTCATTAAAATTCTGGAATAAAAGGGAAATTTTATCTATATATTTAATTTATTTCGGTACAGCAGTTTAATTTTTATTTGGGAAATATACATGCTTTCAAACTCAAGTAATTGGGACAGAAGGATGACTCCTCTCAGAATTAAGTCTTCTTCTCGTAAATCACCTGAAAAGCAAGAAGAACCTGACGATTACTATTTAAGAAATACCGCAGCATCATCAAACCTACAAATGTCTTAATCTACTCATTAGAGAATCGGATTAGATGATCTAAAAAATAGCACGAGACCTCAAGATAGAGATTATTATCGCAGAAATCATAGATTAACTAATACAATTAGAGATGATGATGAGAATTCTAAATCAGATTATCACGCACTGAGACGTAAATAAAACTCAATGACCAGAAGAAATAGTGAGAAAGAGGAATTATATGCTAAAATGGCAAGAGATCTATTTAGAGAAAATTAAGAAAAGGATATGGAACTTGATCGATTGAGGAAAGAATAAGCTGAAAGAGACAAAAGAATTGAAAAAGATCTAGAGAGAATAAGACTTGAGAAAGCGATGGAGGAGCAAAAGAGAAAAATGGAGCTTGACAAACTCAGATCCAAAACAGAATTCAAATTGAAAACAAACCCCTCAGATAATAAAATGACAAAGCTTGCTCTATAAATGCTGTAAGATGACTAAAAAAACGTGGATAACTTAGCTTAGTCCTTAAGAAATTATTTAGAGTACTAAAATGATAAGGAAAAAGCAGCTTAAGCTAGAGAGAATGCACTTAGAAACAGCATAAGCAAACTCAAGAAGCAAAAGACTAAAAAGAGAAAAGCTCTAAGTATAGTTAATAATGGAGCTAGCTATACTCAATGGACATAAGGTTTCTCAAGAAAAACAACATAATTTGACCCTAATTCCTAAACATTGTATGATCCATTAAACAGATCAGGTCTTCCTGATAAGCCTAAAGATAGTCCCAGAAGAGAATCTACTTAAAGGATTAACGTTGATAGGTCGATGCTACTACATACTCCTGAAGCTCCACTTCTTAGTTTGGAGAAGAAAATATCAAGTATCGTGCAGGCAGGATCAAATGTCTAAAGAAAGATCTCTACTGTTTCATTCGCGGACTAATCTCAAAATCTTGCAAAACAGCTTTCAAGAAAGCCCTCCCTTAATAAAATTGCATCATAACCTGCTCCTAGTTTAAAAAAATAAAAGACTAATACAAATGCTGGAACACCTAAATTCGATGTACCAGAGCTAAATCTAAACAAAATTAGGTCTGAGGCTTAAAAGAGGACACCCTATCTTTAAAAGGTAACTTCTCAGAAGACTTTAAAGAAATAAGGTCTCTAGTCTAAAGTCTCAATTAATTCTAGATAAGTTAATATGCTTGAACCACCTGCAAGGGTATAAAGTGCCAAGAATTAGAATAAGCAGCAAAATATCAACAATGAAGCATCATTTTTTACTGTAGAAAATCTTGATAGCATGTCTGAAAATTCTGAAGGATTAAATGATCAGAATAGACTAAGTGAGCTAATCAATCAAGTTGTGTAGACCCAAAAGAATATTGAAGAAGTAGTGATAAAAGGTGCTAAGGAGTACGAGGAGAACTAGAAAAACCCTAAACTCGAGGTCATTTACAATGAAAAGGAGATGGAGCTCAAAAAGTTTTTAGAGATGTGTACCAAACACTACAAGAAATGCGACTAATTTGTAGAAGAACTCAAGTGACTTTTGTGGGAATTACTACTACTACTTTAATATATTTAGATATTAGACAAGTTAAGTTAAATTTTTATATAATTATTCATAAAATATCAATATAAATAGCGTATCGGGGTTTTGGGGTTTTGGGGTTTTGGGG